TGAGTCTTTCTCAGACGTAATAAAATAATAAAAATTAGGATCAATAGAAAATACGATATTAAGATAATGTTCTAATCGCATGAAGCATTAAAAGTAAACAACAATATTGTTGTCAACCTAGTACAGGAGAGGAAATAAAATAAGAAATATAGTTTTTGATAAACATTTTAGTTATAAAGCTGTTAATTAGAATACAATTTTATCATTAATTTGTTTAAAAAATAAAATTAAGTGTATAAGAAGACTGTTATGTTTAAAACAGAGAATATCTTTTTCTGGATTGACTTTCATTGATTGACATCTCAAGTTGGGAATTATCATTACAGAGAATGGTGACCCTTGATTGAGTTATCTATGTCCATTTGCATATCTGTGATTTTGGATCGCTGAATTGGATGGACTTGGATGTTACTCTTATGTACTCATGGATGAAGACAGACAAATGTCTTTAGTTTTTCGATTTAAGTGGTCTTGCAATCACCACACGTGTATTTATAGACAATCTAAGAATGAAGAGATATAGGTGGGCAGTCGTTTATTTTAAAAAATCGTTTTAATTTATAGGGAGGTTGGAAAATGGTGAAAAGTTTGACCTGCGGGTACAACATGTGTTCTTTAGAAAGTATCATACTTTGTTAGCCTATGGAGGGGATAGTCAATGAAACTGAGCATTAATCTACTTTGGAAAATTTTATGAAAGTTTTAGATATTTTGCTCAAAAGTATATTGGTTAAGCTTTCAATCATTTTCTTAGAATATTCGTTACACAATACCATTTCATGGAGAAAAACAATTTCAAAATGCAAAATTAAACAAGTTAAACACATTTTAAAGACTAGAGTTAGAAAACATGTTGTTAGGTTGATCTTACATCGTACAGGAATAAAACCACTAAACTAGATGAGCTGTCCTGTGAACGTTTTATTTCGATAAACTGACGTTGAAAAACTTTGGGTTAATTTGAGTAATTAGTGTAACTAGAAAAGTTAAAGTTTTTTGTCTTCGATTTCACCGATAAATGTTATACATGAATACTGTGAGTTAGAGTACTCGAAAAAGGATGGATTTTGTCTTTTCATTGAAAAAATGACGAAAGTGTCATCAATTTAGCATTTGTAAAATAACATTTTAAAGTTCTCTGAGCAATTGTTCAATGAAGAATGTTTATGATGCCCAAGAAAATTGTTAAGTAGGGTAGATCCTAGTGGGGACCTCATAGCTACTCCATTAATTTTGTCATATAGATTTCTAGTGAATTGAATTTTTTATTACAGAGTGGATAATTAATAACCTAAGCTGTTCCTTAGTTAAACCATAAACAAGAAAACCCTATCTTTTTTTTTCAAACAAATGTTGATGATCTCATCCAATGGAATGTTTGTGAATGTAGAAATTACATCAAACTAACCATAAACCATTCGTTGGAAGGATCCATGTTTTTCAACTTGTTAACAAATGAGAACTAGTCCAGAACAGTAAATTCATTAAACGTTAACGGTTTGAGAATATGTACAATAGGTAGCTGTGCGTTCCGATTTCTGAAAGGACAGGGTGTCTCTAATTTAGCAGGGATAGACTAGAGGGAAGGCAGCTAGTTAACACCACTCACCGCCAACTCTTGTGTCGCTCTTTTACCAACGAATAATGGGATTGACTGTCAAGTTATAACGCCTCCATGGCTGAAAGGGCGAGCATGTTTGGTGATGGGGATCCCAACCCGCAACTTTCAGATTGCGAGTCGAGCGCCATAGCTATCAGGCCGAATGTAATGAATGACTCTGTTTATAGACTTCAGGAAACCACACATTATACCAGCTCGTGATGTACAAGGTTATAATTCGTTGAATGCATTACCAGTAATAATGTGTTGTTGTTTTTTAAACTCCCTAAAAAAAATTATCAAATTTTTATTTCCTTTGAATGGCGATGGAAAGCATACCTGAAGTAATGAATTAGAATTTTGTGGTGTCACTTAGAAAGTCATTCATATATTTAAAGTAGTCAGTTTTCTATAATAAAACAACTTCATTTCCCTTTGTCCAGGCGTGTTACGGTTATGTTTGGATTTTGTGAAAGCTCCTTTAGGGCTGAACCGTTTTCCTTTATAAAGATTAAAGATATGAACTATGGTTTTGAAAAAAGTGAAAGCACAGTGGCTTTACACTTAGTCTTAAAAGTTAAATAAGTCTTGGGTTAGGGAAGGATTATTAGGAGCGTAAATAGGTAAGTTTTACGCCCTTATATGCAATCAACAAAACTTACATTAGGTGGTGGAACAGAGGAATTAGAACCTCTATCAAGGGCAATTATGCAGGATAGATGTAAAATAACGTTACTGAAGTTACATATTAATTTGCTAAAAGCAGTACACTTTTTATGTTTATTAGCTTTACACAGCTTCATAATTTTAATATTTTGTAAATGCTCATAACAAGAAATTTCTTGTTATTTCTTGGTATTTTTTAGTTCCTAAAGTTCAGTCAGGTAACGGTGTTTTTAAGATCAGTCTTACTCTTATTGAATCTTGCTCCGACTGTTATGTCGGTGTTTCAACTTGAGTTCTTCTTATGGGTGTTTTTGAAATTGATAGTAGACTGAAGCATCATGTGTTTGTATTTCTATGCAATAAAAAATGTAACAAGTTGGAAACCCTCAAGTACGATGTTTTTGTAATTACTATAATTATTTTTCTTATAAAACGTTTTCCTGCCGGAAAATCTGTAGCCAATATACTAATTCGAAGATACGGTAAGAGCGGTTCTAAGCCTTAAACTTTGAGGGGGGCTAAAAAAGTGTTTTGGGGGACCTCCCCATCTGTGATTTAAGGGGGCAAATCCCCTTAATAGGAGCCTTTACATTTAATTACACGTGAAGGTGCAAGTCTAAACAATTTCACCATCAATTACTCCATTATTAGAACTCTCACGTTTTCAGATTTACGCTGTTATTTGCTATAAAATGATAGACATAGACAGAAATATAAAATTAATACTTTTATTATACTTAACTTTGTTTAACGCAAATTGGAGTTTATTATGAGACATTTCTATAAACGCAAATAAAATCACGACCTATACTTCTAGAATGCAACTTTTTTAGCTCAATATTTCGCCAGTGTTCCATTTTAGATTTAGCTGGATTACTGAACTTGTAGGAAGGATATCGATAGCTCCTGACGAAGCGAAATATTGAGCTAATAAAGTTACACTCTGGATATATTGGTCGCGATTTTATTTAAGTTTACAGAAAATACTTTTATTGTTTACAAGGTAAACAGGCAGCAGCAATTATATTTCACAAATGAAAGAGTCGTCTTTTTTTTCACTGTAGATCATTAGCAACTGTATTCTGAAACTCCTGGCAATCTTTATCTGGCCTTTTGCTGAAACAATTAGATCTGATATTTCATTATGACGGAAAACATTGCTTGTCTCCACCGTTAGCGTATCACGACTCGTTAGTTTTAACAAGAAAATATGGACTATCCAATATTATATTCAGACTTTAACCACGTATAAAACAGTTGAGATTAACTTTATGGACGATGATTATCGTGTCTACTTTACTTTCCATACACATTGTATTTGCTGAGAAACACCTTAGTTAAAGAAACATTCCCAGAACTTCTACGAGACATTGACACATGACACTCAGCAGTTTCATAAAGCTCTAGCGGTGAATTGAGTTGGGCATACACATTCTGTGACGGACCGGCATGGCAAAGTGGTTAGGACACTCGACTCGCAATCTGAGGGTCGCGGATTCGAATCTCCGTCCCACCAAACACGCTCGCTTTTTCAGCTGTGGGGGCGTTATAATGTGACGGTCAATCCCACTATTCGTTGGTAAAAGAGTATCCCATGAATTGTCGGTGGGTGGTGATGACTAGCTGCCTTCCCTCTAGTCTTACACTGCTAAATTAGGGACGGCTAGCGCAGATAGCCCTCGTGTGGCTTTGCGCGAAATTCAAAAAACAAACAAACACTCTGTGAACAATCGTGTTTTATGCCCCTGAGCGATGATATTTCCTGCAAACACTTCCAAACTAGGAATAACCTAACAGAAGGGATTTCGGGGTAGTTCCGTGTTCTTATTTTGGTGTATTGTAGTTTTGCATAATATAAAGTTGTAATTTGCTCAGTTTATTTCATCTAAGATATACTCACTACCTCTTCGAAAAGTATACTATTTAAATAATCATGGTTTGTTTTTTAGAGCAAAGTCACACTGGGCTATCTGATGTGTCCACCGCGGGGAATCGAGCCTGGATTTTAGCGTTGTAGGTCCGTAAACTTACTGCTGTCCCACCGGAGAACATACGGAGTACATGACAGAAAAATAAGCCATAATGCGCACTTGGAACTCAATCTTACAACTTTCAGTAACTTTTGAGAAGATGCATTAATGGTGTTTCTCGAAGTCAATGAATTCAAATTTTTAACTTTAACTTTCAATAAATTACAAATATGTAAAAAGAGTGAACAATGTTAGGGAGTATATGCCAAGTTTCAGTAAAGACAGTTATTTCGTATTCCTATCACACTTTCATGTATTTGTTACCAGAAGTTCTGCAGTGTATTCAGAAAACATCTTGCATAACAAAAACTATTCCGTCAGAATAAGTGAAAGCTATCTTACACGTTTTACATTTTAACAGCTTCAACCATAATTTTCGGGAAAAACTATATACGAAAAAGAATAAAAAGGCTTAACACTATTGAATTGACCTAATTTGTTAGCTCCTTATATTTAGAACTGTTCTCAAGCAGAAAATATTTTCGCTAAATATTGTTTCTTGTTATTGATTGTTTTATTTTTCTATCTAATGCAGTCACTTTAAGAGTGCAAGCGCAAAGATTAAAAAATACAAGTTAAATTAATAATAAACTTAAGTGTTTTTTATGACTAATCTGTTTCATAGTTCTATCTTCTAAGTTCCCAATAAATTATTGAAATATTTAGGTATATAATCCTACAAAAATTTTAATCTTTCCACTAACCAGCAAAACCTCTGCAGCTACGACAGACCGGTGAATTGATCGCTGCACTGAAGAAACATGTGGATGACAGAACAAGTTAGTATCGTATACGTTCACATTACCGCCTGTTAGAAACCTGCAGACGGTAGGTGCTCTTACCTCATTTACCCGTCTCGGATGTACAGACAAACTGGCGACTGAACATTATGTCACTCACTTCACATCACCTAAGTCCAGCCACTCATAAGCCACCACGAATGATTTATCAATCAAAGTGTTCCAAAACTATTGCGACAACTCCTTTAAGCTTCCGCCACTCTATCACCGTCAGAGCCCTCTTTCGGAAATGTTCCTTTGCACTTTTACAACCAAACGATGGTAATGCCGAGAAGCTACAAAAAGTGTGTGTATGTATATATATATATATAAGTGAAAGAGTGAGAGTTTAGGCTTATACAACCTACACCCAATTTCTTTTCGCTACAGCTTTTGCTCGACCGTAATTGTGTTGAAAATTCAACAGTTTTAAAATTGTATAGAGAATTGAACACATTTAAAATGATAACTTCCAACTGACTGAAATATACCACGTATTCACTAAAATTCACTCAAAGTCGAATAACATACTTTGTTATTCTCTAACACAAAATCTGAGTAAAGCTTAATGTTAACTTCAAAAACAAGTATGAGAAAAGTTTAAAACATCAATTAGCTAAATGTTTATTTTTTCCATTTTATTTAGTCAAACTTTTCAAATGTGGTTGTCCTAATATTTCTTTAAAGTATCTGGAGAAATCAGAGCCAATATTTTTCAATTTTATAGAAGCAGGGGAGTGCTATATAATGTTTGGTATTCTTTTATATTAATTCAATATGCTTTGTTTTTCTGCGTATCATCTCTAAACCAATTAACAAATTAAAAAAACAATACTTTAGATCTTAAAACTGTACTGTGTGTTGTTCGCTCAACATTTTAACTTAATTCTTTATAACCATTTGACTTTGTGCTTGAAAAAAAAAATGTCTTGAATTATTACGATTTGGTCATTTTCTGCACATTCTTCTACTCCACTCTCACACATAAGCCAAACGAAAGGTTTCATATCTTGAAACAATAAATCTGTCTTTGACAAGTTTCATCCATGACCTTAAAATGTTGAAGCACATCAATTTGGTCTTTAACGAGATACATTTTCTTCATGATTTTGAGATAAATCACTTTTAAAAGTACTAATTTTTCAGTGAAACTATCTCTGGACGTTACATTAGAGAAAGACAATTATAGATGAATTCAACAAGGAATATTATTCAAACTGTATACACTGAGTGGTCACAAGTAAATAGACACCTAATTTTTCGTCATTTAACTGATTTATGTTAACTAATTTGT